GGCCCGGGCTGCCCGGGAGCCGGGAGCTGGGAGTCCGGGCGAGGCCCGCCCCTGCTGAGCTCGCTTGCTCTTGTGTAAACCCGGGCCGGTCTGCTTCCTAGGGGACGGCGAGCGCTGGGGCTTGGTCCCTGAGGTTCTGGCCGAGGCCAGGCTCACATGTGTGCTTTAAAGGAGAACTTTGATTTAGCCGAGGGCGCGTGGTTGACAAATAGTGAGGAGGAAGCGGCGATGGCCTGGTGGGCACTCGTTCATGAACTTGAACGCTGAGTCCTCCGCGTGCATTCTCACAGCAGAGCAGTCGGGGGCATGGCCAGGCCACACGCCAAGCAAAGGCGAGGCCAGGCCCGTGTGGACCGCGGCTCCCGCCCGGCGGGGTGGACCTCTCAGGAGCTTGTAAGACCCGGGATACCCGGACCACACCCTGGACGCCCCCTCCCCAGGCAGCCTCTGGGGTGACAGGCTGGAGAGCAGGCCTGACTCCTTGCTGGTGAACTGTTCCTGCAAACAGCTCCCTCTGCCCCGCAGGCACCAGCTGTTCTGCAAGCTCACCCTGCGGCACATCAACAAGGCCCCGGGGCACGTGCTGCGGCACACGCAGGGCCGGCGCTACCAGAGAGCTCTGTGTAAATGTAAGTGTGTGTGTGTGTGTGTGTGTGACACAGCTGCCCGGGTCACGGCGCCTGGGGGCATGCCTGCCCTCCCCAGGATGAGCACCCCTCGAGGGCAGAAGTGGTCTGGGCCAGTGGTCGGCAAACTCATTCGTCAACAGAGCCAAATATCAATAGGACAACGATTGAAATTTCTTTTGAGAGCCAAACTTTTTTTAAAAAAAAATATTTTATTGATTTTTTACAGAGGAAGAGAGAGGGATAGAGAGTTAGAAAAATCGATGAGAGAAACATCGATTAGCTGCCTCCTGCACACCCCCTACTGGTGATGTGCCCGCAACCAAGGTACATGCCCTTGACCGGAATCGAACCTGGGACCTTTCAGTCCGCAGGCCGACGCTCTATCCACTGAGCCAAACCGCGTAGGGCGAGAGCCAAACTTTTTAAACTTAAACTATATAGGTAGGTACATTGTTATTAACTTCATTAGGGTGCTCCTAAGGCTTAGGATGAGTCACACTCAAGGGGCCAAAGAGCCGCATGTGGCTTGTGAGCCGCAGTTTGCCGACCACGGGTCTGGGCCATTGGGTGGCAGTGCTCGGTGGATTGCCCCGCACCCTGAAGAGGGCTGCAAAGCTGGAAGCCGCCTCCCAGAACAGTGCGTCCTCACTCATCGTCCTCGAGGTTCAATGGATCTAAACGAGTTAAGTTCCTGCGGCATCTCATCCATGTTACAGTGCCGCGACGTTGTTGGGGGACCTGCCGCAGTGATGGCAGGTGGTGCTGAGTGCTGAGGGAGGGAGGTGCTGGCAGCCGGGAGGGCCGGCCTGACTCAGGAGGCCGAGACGGGCATGCGGAGCGGGAAGAGGACAGGATCTGGGCCAGGTCCAAGGCTGGCGTGGGAGGCCCTGAGGACCTGCCTTCGTTGTGCCATCACGCAGTGTAGGGTGAGAGGGGTGGGTAGGGGCTAGAGCACAGAGGGTCTTGGAGGCCGTGGTCAGGAGCACGTGCAGCCGGATGCACTGAAAGGGTTAAAGCAGGGACTGGCATGACCCCTGCAGTCATCCAGGTGAATGGAGAGGTGGCGGGGTCCCCTTGGGTCACCAGGTGTGGGCAGGGAGGATGGAACGCAGTGGACGGGTTTTAACTTGGGGGTGGGTTGCTAGATGAGGAGTGAGGGGCAGGAATAAACCAATTCCCAAGCTCCCACGTCCCGACTTGAGAGCCGAACCTGAGAGCCGAACCTGAGAGCCGAACCTGAGAGCCGAACCTGGTAGGGGAAGTTTGGAGAGTGGGGTCTGAATAGGCTTTGGGGGAAATTGAAAGTGGAACTGGAGCACTTTAAGTGAGAGGTACGGCGGGGACCAGCACTCAGGAGATGCAAATCACCGACACACGTGGCATTTGCACCCACGGAGCCCGTTGAGAAGGGACAGGGTGGGGCCTGGGTACCAAGGAGCCCTGGGAAGGTGAGGAGGAACCAGGTGTCTGGGCAGAGAGGAACGGGTGGACTCTTATTAGACGTCAGCCAAGGGGAGATGAGAGAAAGGTGAGACCAGGCAGCTGGGTGGCGAGGTGGAGACAGCCAGGCTGGAGCGGGGCAGGGGCCGCAGCCAAAGGTGGGGGAAGGAGGGCCGAGCTCCTGTCACCACCTACCCCCCCGGGGGGCTGCACTGCACTGGGGTGCTGATGGAGGGCCTGTGAGTCCTCAGTGCAGGGAGGACAGTGACTCCAGCCTCGTTCCTGCCCCTTGCTCTAGCCAAAGGTCAACAGGGGGCGCTGTTTCCACTGAGCCACCATGCCTGCACAGGGCTTGCCTCCTGGTGACAGGCTGGCATGGTTTCCAGGTCAGGTGCCCTGGAGCTCCTACAGCCTGGTGGGCCTGGCCAGAGGCAGGTGCTCACGACCAGCAGATTGGTGCCATCTTGTCTGTCGGCCTCACCCCTGCTGGCCTTTCCTGTCCTGGTAGGAACTGAGCTGGTGGCCTTTCTCTGCCTAGTGGGTGAGGCACAGGGCTCAGGGATGGGAGGCAAGGAGAGAGCCATGCTCTGTGCTGGCCTGTCTGCAGATGCAGAGTGTCAGAAGCAGGGCGTGGAGTATGTGCCCGCCTGCCTCTTGCACAAGAGGAGGAGGAGGGAAGACCAGATGGACAGTGACAGGCCACCCCGCCGGAGACCAGCCTTCTGGGAGCCCGAGTCCAGCGATGGTGACGGCACGGCCCCGAGTGACAGTGACGACAGTATGGCAGACCTGTATCCGCGTAAGCAGGACCGTGCTCCCTGCCCCCCCTCCCTCCTACTCCCCCTGGCTGTCCTGTCCATCTCCAGCAGCAGGTGGCTCTGGCCCGCTCCCTTCTCCAAGTGCCCCTTAGCCCCATGCACAGGTGGTGACCTTAACCTAGTCCCTCTTCCTTCCAGCCGAGCTGTTCACCAAAAAGGACCTGGCAGGGGCCGAGCACAGGGACAGCGCTGATGCCTTTCTGACCGATGAAGACGAGAGGCCAAGGCACCCGAGAGCAGAGGGCGCTGGGGACGGAGAGGGGAGGGGAGGGGCCCGGGCGCCGGCCGTCAAGCGCAGGAAGGTGAGTGGTGCCTCCAGGCTGCTAACAGGGCAGCAGTGTCCTTAGCGAGGTTTCCGTTTCCCTAGAAAAGTAAGACCACTCTCTGCAGGTAACACCCCAGGCTCATGGCACACGCAAGCAAGGAGCCAGGGCTGCTCTGAGGGGCGGGGAGCTTTAAGTGTGCACCTGCGGGAGCCCGGCTGCCTGGACAGGTGCCCGAGAGCAGCCAGGAGCCGAGAGAGGGCCCAATAGACGCCACCCTGAGCCTGTGTGGGCGGGGCGGGGCTAGAGGAGGTCAAGGTCTGTGCGTTTGGGGGTTCACAGCGCTGCCTTGGATAAGCTGGCAGCTGTGGGGGAAACTGGGCGGAGAGCGGACCTAGGGGTTTCCAGCTGAAACCTCGCCTGTGGGCGGGGCAGGCTGACACCCGCTCACCTGGGCCCTCACTGGAACTCTGTCCCCGCCACAGAAGCAGTCGGGCTCATCCAAGAAGTTCAAAAGCCGGCACCGCAAGCCGAAGCGCATCAGCTCTTCCCAGCAGGCGGGTTAATAAACGTTTGCCGAGACCGCGCAGCCTGAGTCCTTGGGGTTTGCACCCTGCACCCCCCCCAGTTGCCCCAAGTCCTCCCAGCCGGTGGGGCGTCCTGGGGTTTCTCCATCCACTCCTCTGGCTGCCCCAGGAGCAGGGTTGGGTCCATGCCCCCGGGGCCCTGTGTGGACATGGCCGAGTGGTCCTCATGTGGCACCTGAGAGCCTGGCTCGGCCCACCCGCCTAGACGGCACGGAGGGTCACACTGTACAACAAATGCCATCATTTATTTTGATGTTTCCAAAATCAAAACGTTTCCAAACACAACTAAGATATAAAATACAGCATAAAGTGAGATCGATACCTATTTCCCACATAACGCAAAAAATTGTCAGAAATCGTTTTGCCAAAACCAATTGGTAGATTATTTTTTGCTCCTCCCGCAAAGGCATGGGTCTACAGGGCCCAGGCACTAGCCTGCTCTGGGCAGGGAGGCAGGGACGGGAGTGACCACAACGGTCAACAAAGGTCTCAGCAGTCAGGGAGGTGCCCTACTAGACGCATCTTGGCTGAGGGTGCCACTTGATGGGGCTGTCACTCAAGGGGGCTGTCAGGATGTGTTAAGGGGGCGGAAATGTGGACTAAGAGACCACATGGTCCAGGGTTGCGTCAGAAAGTGAAGAAACACCGTGTAGTGAGCGTCCGAGTGACGGGAATAGACACGCCCTTCAGCCTGGCTTTGTCTAACACCAGGACGAGCCTCCGCTCTGGCTGGGCCCTGGGGTGGGTGAGATGGCTCGCCATCACCCCCTTGGTCAGGTGGGTCCAGGCTGAGCCTGAGGGCAAGAGGCAGCCTCCTCCCCACAAAGCCTGCGGGCACGGGGGCTCCCCTCACCTGGCTCAGGGCTGGCCCTCAGGCCACACACCTCGCTGAAGACCAGGGAGCCAAGCCCCGAGGCCAGGCTCTCAGGGGGCCAGGCCAAGTTGGTCTGTCCCCGAGAAGGATCTGCGGGGAGGACAGCAGGAGGCACAGAGACTCATGTCCCAACTCCCCTGGCACCTTCGCTGGGATGGGGCCTGGCGGAGGACAGCAGGAAGCGCTCACACCCCCAAGAAGAGAAACACAGTGTAAGGCAATGTTAGAAAACTTTAAATACAGGAGTCAGATCCAATCGGTAAGGCATCACAAATCAGTAAAAAGTAATCTGGGCCGTGTGCAGCATAGCAAACAGACGTCTGAGCAAGCGGCAGCCCCAGGAGACGGAAGCCGAGGCCGTGCAGCCTGGGGTCATCCCTCAGCCAGGGAAGACCCAGGCAGCGTCCAGGGCGCGGCCCAGTTCAGCGAGGCTGCGGAAGGTTGAGTGTGAGGTAACTGGTCTGCGAGCTGGCGTCTGCTCCTCCCCAGGCCGGGGGAGGCCGGCCAACCTGCAGACGTGCGGGTGGGCGTGGGTGGGTGGGTGCGAGGGCTTCTGATATCCATCCCCACTGAGCCACGGAAGCCCCCGGGGGATGACCCCATATAAACTGCACAGGGTGGGCTGGTGTCCTGACTAAGCAGTGACTCACCGTGAACAGGGCCCCTCTAATGCTGCCTCGATCTCTGGGGGTTGCTCCTCTAATATCTCACTGTCCTTGCAAGTGTGACACTGCAAGGCGGCGCCACGGGGCGCTTCTGAACCAGGGAGCGGCCAGTGGTTCTGATGTGCCGGGCCACCCACAATCACTTAGTTTTAGCTAAAAACGTAAACTTTTAAAAAAAATAAGAGGGAGACTGCTTTGAATGATACACAGATGTATCTGCTCAGAGTACAGCTTGAAGGCCCCCACCACCCACAAAAGAACAAACCAGGACAGAGGCCGCAACCCCCCCGGCTGCTCTCGCCGCGCGGCCAAGGCCTGGCCGTGGGGAGGGAGGAGCCAGGCGGCCGCTGGCTGGTCAGACAGCAGGTGGGTGCAGAGCAGTCAGCCGTCGCTCTCCAGGCTGCAGAGGTCTCACATCTGTGCCTCACCCAGGCAGGGGGGAGGGGACGAGAATGCGGCAGTTTGTCGATCGACCCCGAACCAGTCCTCGCCGGCCACGGTTTAGGCAGGCAGGAAAGGTGTTACCACTCTTTCTTCTTCTCGTCCATGGAGACGCCCCCGGGGCCCAGAGCCACCACCAGCAGCAAGCCGCCGATCACCGACATGGTCTGGAAGAAGTCGTACTTGAGGAAGTCGTGCATGGGCTTGTAGACGGGGATGGTCCAGAAGGCGTTGAAATACACGTTGATGGCGAACAGCCAGACCACAAGAGTCAAGGCGGCCAGCTTGGTCTTAAAGCCAATGGCCACTAGAATCATCAGCGCTGTGCCCACGATGTTCTGGAGGATCTGCAGAGGGGACAGTAAGAGACTCAAATGGGAGGAAGAAGGGATGGTCAGGTGCTGGGGCGAAGAGACGGGTGTGCAGAGGCCGCTAATGGTCGGGGCTGTGACGGTGGGATGGTGACAGGTGGGGCTGTGACGGTGGATGGTGACAGGTGGGGCTGTGACGGTGGGATGGTGATGGTGGGACTGTGACGGTGGGGCTGTAACAGGTGGGGCTGACGGTGGGATGAGAAGGGGGCTGGGGCAGATGAGGCAGCGCTCAGCGCAGGCCAAGGTCCCCCAAGCAGCTCAAGCTGGAGCCCAGGGGCCTCCACACCAGGACGGCCGGGCGTTCCTGGGAACCTCGCCAGGCAGGGCGCACACTCGGTAACAAAGACCTGCTCTGTAAACTCCAGGGGGCAAAGCCAGAGCCTTCTTCAACTCTGCACGCCCAGCACCCGGCTCACAAAGGTCATGAGATAAAGGTGAGGAAGGAGCGAGTCTGGGAGGACTGGCACCAGGACCCTCAGTGAGGTCCACGAGGCTGGACTTCATCTGTTCAGAGGCAGGTTCTGGGCACATAAGAGCCTGACAGTTTGTTCTTCAATAGGATCAAAAGCCTTGGCCTGCGTGGCCTTGGGCTCTGCTTCGTCCACACCAGGGCAGGGGCAGGGGCAGGGGCAGGGCAGGGGCGAGGCGAGCAGGACTCACGGAGAAGAAGCTGGCGTCGAAGTGAAGGAGGGTCATGAACATCAGCACCAGCAGGACCCGGCCTCCCAGCTGCATGTACTGCTTGGGGGAGCTCTCGCGCATGGTGGGGACGCCCGCGAACATGCTCTTCCCCTCCGAGCGGGACTCCGCCAGGAGCAGCAGCAAGCCCCCTCCCAGGGCCAGGTTCCTGAGGGAGACGCCAGGCAGCGTTCAGGCCCAGGCCGAGGGCCGCCAGACCAGCCGGGAGACCTCAGCCCTGCCCCCTCTGCAGACCAAGTGGGACTCGGCCTGAAGACACATCCGTGTCTGTGTACGAGACAGCGGCCGTCGCCGGAGCACGCCTGGAACCTTCACTGCTGAGCAGCTGGCTCCTGTGAGCAGCGGTTCCACTGGGACCCTCCCCTCCCTCGTGAAACCCGGGTCAGGAGAGGCAACTGTGCTCACGTGTCCTGAGGGCCCTGGTGGGGGTGAAGGCTCTGCCAACATCCACCAGAGTCTAAGGAGCACAGTCTTGACCCCAGAGGTTGACTCAATGGATAGTTACAGCCCGAGGTTACATGGGAGGAGGTAGGGTGACCCCTCCAACCAGACACACGTACCTCATCAAAAACTTCAAGTCCCATAAAATGCTGTAGGCGATCGTCTGAGGGGACAGAGGCAGAGAAAAGGTGAGTGTCCGCATTTCCAAGCACCTGCTTTTCTACCAAATGGATAGCATGAGGACAGTTTTTAAACTTAAGATACACAAAACCGCTGCAGGACTCCAGGACAGCTCCGAGGCCACGCTCGGCTCAGTGCCCCGAGCTGCGCCCCTGGTGTGCCCCAGAGAACAGGGCAGACCTGACCACGGACCCGAGTAGCTCGGCAGCCTTAATGAAGGAAATGAGAAGAACGGGGTCCTGGCGGCAGCCAGCCTGGTCAAGGCAAACCCAGGCAAGGGCCAGCCCGCATGGCCGTCCGCTTCTCCCGCGTTTGCCTTGAGGAAAACTGAGCCCCTTCTCGGGAAGGAGTTCCAGGGCGACTCCTCGACAGGCCTTTCCAGAGGCTCTGCTCCAACCCGAGCAAGAAGGCAAGGCCCCACCCGGTTAGCGGCCGCCGTGGTTCCTGGGCGAGACCCTGTCCTTCCGCCCGGTTTACCTGCAGCGCGATGATGCCGAAGAGCCCGAAGCAGGCGTGCTGCACGAAGTTCCTGCTCAACACCAGGATGCAGCCCGCTGGAAGGAGAAGGCGCGGGTCAGGGGCTGGCTGCCTCACCTGGCCTCAGGTGCAGCAGCAGCCCCAACACCTGCCACAGGCAAAAATCCAGGCGTGGGAGGGGCAAGGGCAGGCGGGAAGCGCAAGGCCCGGCCCTGCATGTACAGGGCTGAGGCTGCCACCAGGAGCAGAAGCGAGGCCCGAGGCCGACGTGAGCTGCGCGAGGCCTCGTCTCTCCCGTCTCCTCCCCCGATTTACCCGTCCAGACACCAGGGACGCTCACTGCCGGCTCCTCGCTGCCCCAGCTCACCTGCATCTGCTCTGGGAACGCAGACACGGGGCTGCCCCTTCCTTCAGGAAGCCCCAGCATCCCCGGGGCTGACACCTGCTGTCAGCGAGGGAGCCACTTACTCAGCTGTCCGAGCAGGTTGAGGAGCACGAAGGTGGAGGCCACCAGGTAGCCACAGCCCCAGGTGCTGTCGATGTAGTCCCGCTGCTCGCCCCACTGGAACCACATGCGCACGCCGTCCTCCAGGAAGGTGCTGATCAGGCAGAGGCGCGCCACGTGCGGGAGGTACTGCTTGGTGACTCGGAGGAACTGTCGGGCCACAGACATCCCGGTGAGGGGCTGCGGCAGGGCTCTCGGCCCCAGCCAGACGCTTCTCGGGCGCCATGCGTGTGGCTCTCAGCACCTGCTCCCAGCATGTCGTGTGGGCGCACGAGAACCTGCACAATTTCCCGGCAGCCTAGACCCCGCCAGGTGGCAGTGTGACACTCTGCTATGACCT